CAAAGCACACACACACACACACACACACACACACACACACACACACACACACACACACAATCACGTATATTGAAGAGTTTGCTGAGGCGCACCGATTGGTCCCATCATTATTCCCCTTCTTAAAATAGGATCAGATTAATCAGTAAAATTCAACATTACATATCATAGCGTTATGTGCAAAATAAAACAGTTTTTTTTTTACTTCTCTTGAAAACCTCGTATGACATATTGTAATCTTGGAGGACGGCGACGACATGTACGCTCAATCTCTTGTACGTTCAAGAGCTTTTATTCATTAGAATTTATATTTTGTCACCGTTATTCAGTGATTCACCATTGTCGCATGTAAAAATAGAGGTTTTCATGAGAAATAAAAGAAAAAAACAAGCAAACAAACTACAACAAAAACAACAACAGCAACAACAACAACAACAACAACAACAGCAACAACAACAACAACAACACCAAATGCAACTATTTAAAAAGATTCGGGCAAGACATAATCTTTTCAAAATACAAGAAGTTTAATTCGTCTAAGTCTGTTGTTATTTTAAAAAGAAGGGAAAAAAATGACACTAGATATCTAGATCTGTGACGATTGCGACTTATCAAACTTTACAACATACACGTACTTGATTTTAATTTCTACAAAATTTTGACATAAACGTTCTACAATGTTGACTGACAATGGAACATAGAACAAGAAACTATAAAAGTTAAGTAGTAGTTTACTGAAGTGTTATATATTAAGCATTTTAGTTCAGCCTAGCCCCTGATAGGCCCAGTTGAAAAGGAGCAGTCTCAAAGGGCAGCAAGTTATGATAATATATTAGACTTCACGAATTAGAAACACTGAAGCCAAAGGAAAATGCTGTACACAGGCAGTGCGCATGTCCACAAGTGGACATTCTTTATTTAATGCCCAAAGTGTGGCAAGCTCTTCTCTTCTATGGTCTCATTGGTCATACCATTAGAAACAACAGGTCATCCTAACCCATATAGTTATTTATTCTTCTCTGTCCTTTGAGAACCATTCTCTGTAGATGCATTGGTCATTGTCAGACATTCATGGGCAAATTATTAATTTATCAATTAAGTGTAGTACATTATATTACAACCAGTATCTTTTCTAAGTATGCTTTGTGCTAAGAGGGTAGGTGGCTCATTTGGGCTGGAGCGTTGACACAATGAATATGGCAGAGATAAAAATGGGGACAAAGTCTTTAATCTGATTACTATTGTTTTAACGTTTCTCTTCTCCTTCATCACTTCTTTCAACACTTACCTGGTTTCTCTATTCTCTATTTCTCCCTTTCTCTTGTCTTTTTCCATCTTTCATTCGGTTCACTATTTTTTAGTAGGCTACTTTTCATACAACTTTTATCCCCCCCCTCCCCCAACCCATAAAACTCACACACACACACACACACACACACACACACACACACACACACACACACACCCTCAAAACGCTTCCATTTTACAACGAAACCAATCACATAGCCTAGTTTCTTTGTCTATCACGGAGCCCCGCTCACACGAATCCGTATGGAGGACCAGGTGTTGCGTGTCTATTGATTCCCCCAGCGAGCGGACAGAGAGACTGTGTGGGGTGCGACCCTCCGCCTTGTGTGGGAGTCCCAGTCAAACTTCCCAGGTCTTTCTCAACTCGCCCCGGAGATCTGGTGAGTAGATGCCCGTTATAAATGTCATAAAATGAAAATATGTATCGATTGTGTGCTTCATAGATCTACTTTTGGTCAACCTTACACATCGTTGTTGTGAAAACATTGAGTGTCTTCTTTGCTAAGTTGGATATTTTCGGTAAGCAGCTACATATTATAAATGTCATAAAAAGAAAACATGTATCGATTATGTGGTGTGTAGATATCTATGTATGGTCAGCTTTACGCTTTGTTGTTGTAAAAGAAGTGAGCGTCTTTACTAAACTGGATATTAAAAGTAAGACGTTATAAATGACATAAAGCGAAAACATGTATCGATTGTGTGATGTGTAGATATCTACTTTTGACCAACTTTACACGTTGTTGTAAAAGTATTGAATATCCTACTAATCTGGATATTGAGGGTAAACAACAGCACATTGTAAATGTCATAACTGGACAACGTATATCGGTTGTGTGCTGTATAGATATACCTTCCTTAGGTGAACTTTGTACGTTATAGTTGCAAAATTATTGTAGATAGCAGACTTTTTAAAATTCTCGGTTGCCACCATGAACCATAATTTGATGATCATCTTGCTTAATTATCGCCTGATGTATAGAAATATAGGAGCCGATTGCTGGATCTAAACAGCAATCATAAACAAAGTCGTGACCAAAGACGTTTTCTTTTTCTTCTTCTAAGCTTTTCTAGAAGCTGGACGTTACTTCTCGGACCTTATTTCCGCTATAAAACACCCTGTCTTTTACTCTTTGCCTGCCTGGGTTGTTTTGCTTCCACGCCAGATTTCTATGTCCTGCTCCCTTTGTCTGTTAGGTCTTCTTCACCTTCCTCTCGTGCCCTCTACTTTTTCTTTCAGAATAGAAATCTATGTTTCTAGTTTAGAGTGAATCATGACATTTGATATGACATTTTACGTTTTGCCCACTTTACCTCTTTGTAATGTTCATTGTCATTGTCACTGCAAACATAAAAGACAAAGTAAACTGTTTAACACCGAACAGTTTGATATAAAATTTCTGATAACATGAAAGACTTTCAAATCCCCAGGTTTTTTTTTCCTTTTTCATTCTACCCTTGTAACTCCTCTTTGTACGATTAAAAACATTTGCAGCAGATCTTACTTATAAGCTTGAAATTTGTTTACTGCGAAGACGTTCTCTGGTCACACGAAGTGCGTGCTACAAGGAATTTATAGTAGTAAGTTTGCGTACATCATGTTTAGAAGGGTGCATCAGAAAAATAATGTGATTATGAAATGGATGATGTACAATAGCTTGGCATAAATTTTGAAATCAAGACCTACCCCACACGCTCTTAGCTCAGTTGGTATAATGGTGATCTGCAATGTGGATACCCTTCTCCAAATCCCCAACGGGGTGTTTCTTAACTCATTGAAGACACGCTTATTAGTCATTCGACAACGTTGGAAGACGTGCAGTTTTGGGGCTCTTAATAAAAAAGAAGCGTAGATCTAGTTTCTTTATTCATACATACAGACTTCAACATAAGTTAAGGACCACCTTGACAGGCAGTCTTGATTTTTCTTTATCCCCAAAAAGAAAGCAAGGAATGTTGCAAAATTGTTTGCTCTGAAAGTGTTAATGGGTTACCAATGCGTACTGCAAAGCTTTCAAAATGGGCAAAACCACCACGTGCAGCACGGAAATCCTCGGGGAATTTTAGACAAATTTGCTGTTTTTTAAAAATCGACTTGTGTGCGACACCACGGACATTCGTCAATTAAAATTTCTGGTGCACGTCATAAACGGACGTTTGGTCTCCAACTGTGCTCACTTTTGAAGCAATAAAAGCCGCCGTTTGCGCAAAATCCAATATCACATCAGCATGCCACCAAGACGAAAGCTGAGAGACTTTGATCGTGCCAGAGATATCTCACGGCTGCAGGATGGAATTGGAGCCCGAGAAGTTGCCAGAAGGCTTGCAGTGTCACACTTTGTCATTGTCCGCCTGAGGCAGCGCCATCAAACCACTGGATCAGTCCAAGAACGCCCACGTGCAGGTCGACTCAAGAAGACCACTCAGGGTGTATGCAAGTGGTCCTTAACTTATGTTGAAGTCTGTACTTAATATGTTCTCAATGTCAACAACAAGTACACGGTATCCTACTATATATGCAAACTCGTGACTCTGATTAGTATATAACACTTCAAAACATGCGCAGCATTACCTTAGGTCTGCTGCTGGTCGGATATATAAAATACAATATCTTGTAGACTTAGGCATTTGGCCCTTTTCTGATTTAAGCCAAAGAGGTAGCACCTTGACGACATTGTATTTGTCCGCTTCGTCCCTAGATCGTTAAACTTTGTTTCTTGAACTTCCAAGTCCCCCCCCCCCTTCCTAGATGTATCCTTTTGGAGATAAACGTTAAGTTCTGAGGTCCCGCTTTTTGTATAATTATACAATATAGAAATGGTCGTTTACTCATGCCAGGAAATTTATTTTTGCAGCACAAGGCAAGACTGAGAGATAAAGACATGAATATGTCCGCTGAAAATTTAATTTACTTTTAGCTCCACATTAATTTAGCCTGGAAAGCACGAGTGCACCCATGCTTTCTCGTGATGGTTCATGGTTTTCGAACCTGCTCTAATAGTAATACCCACCTATCCAAGACAATCACCTGAACAAACGACCACCCCTCCCCCCACCTCTCTCTCTCTCTCTCTCTCTCTCTCTCTCTCTCTCTCTCTCTCTCTCTCTCTTTCTCTCTTTGTGCGCGCATGAGCATGTGTTTATTACTATGAACAATGATTTAAATAATTCATTTCCACCCCCTTTTTACAGCATACAATCCAACTCTACAAACAGATCAGCATGGATGACGAAGATACTGTACCCACAATCTCCGGAAATCTCATTATGGCGTACGGTGAGACGCCCAAATCCTACGTTCGTCACCGTGGCGACAGCCATGTGTGTACATGTCTGTTCTGGAGTCGCTACACGCTGTTTGTCATCAATTTCCTCATCGTGGTGAGTTTTTCAAGCAACCAGTCTGGTCTTTTATGGAGAATTCCTCTCCCAAATACATTTACAAATCCAGTCGAACCTTCTTTAACGACCACCTGCCCAAGACAGTCATCTGTACAAATAACCACTCCCCACTTTGTCCTTTGCGGTTTTTCTATAAAACGATGTATTATAATGACACTGTCCATGACTTCCACTTGTCTAAGACAGCCCCTTTTCTCTCATGTAGAGAGTGGCCATCTTGGAAAATTTCGGCTGTATACCATGTCAACGTTTGAATAAATAGCATTTGTATAGCGCAAATCCCCGCTCAACAGCAAGCTCTATGCGCTTCACAATCTGTACTATTACCCCAGCTGGCATGAGAGCGTTCTTGAAACAAAATCAACTGACTGGGAAGCATACAGAGCAAGCAGCCATTTTTGGCGCTAAAATACTAACATATTGACAAGATCTTTCGCAGTCTATGGCCGGGTACCCATTTCCACCTGGATGAAGTGAGGAAAATTCGTGTAAAGTGTCTTTCCCAAGGACACAACGTCGGACCTGCGGCTCGAACTCCTGACCCCGCAACTTCACGATTACGAGTCCGGTACCCTAACCACTAGGCCACCGGCAGCTCTGTGTTGACCGCTGAGGGAAAAGATATTAGTTTTTAGACATGTGGGTTATTAAATTAAATCGCATCACTTATATGGGCCTCATATATTTGCGTTATAACAATACTACACACACACACACACACACACACACACA